GTGAGCACTGCTTGCTTGCCTTATGCTGGCCTCCCTGCTTTGTTCTGTGAAAACTGTGTGTGATTCTGGTCTGGGTTTTTCTCCTTTGTAAAGCAGATATCCCGAAGCATCACAATAACAAACATCACCACATGCATCCACAATCAATTTTACGGTAGATAGCAGAGCATCATCAAGCACTGGCAGCCTCTTGGCTCAGTGCTCATCTTTCACTCCCTCCTCCTCTGGGCACAACTGCCAGGGTGAAAGGAAGGCTTCCACTGAGCCGTCAGTCAGTTTAGACCTGTTTTACCTTCCTTTATCTCCATTTGAGTTAGAGAAAAGGAAAATGTGGGAGGGAGCTGTTATTCAATCCTATTCTAATTTTTCCAGCTATCCTTTATAATGATTCAAATTTATGTTGTTGTTTTAGCAGAAATACCATTGTGGTATGTGCCAGTGGATTGATAGAAACTGGCAACTGTGACCTCTAGTGGCAGTGGGTACATAATTCACCAGACATAGTGGGTAGGGCACTGGAGACACTCCAGTGATGCTGCCTCCCCTGAGGATTCTAATGGATGACAGTTAGACCAGAACAAGAGATTTTCAGAGGAGGGATCTGGATTAAGGACTCCATAAGAAATAGAACTAGTTTTTTTCTCAGTGTCATTTCCTGTTGTCTGCAGGATGTGGATAACTGAGAACAAGCATGCCCTCTCATCCTCCTGGGACATTCTTCTCTAAGGCCCCCAGTGCCACTCCTAATGCTATCTAGTGTGTGAACCAAGGCTTTTCTTCCCAAAGAGTGTTGTCTTCTTGTGCCCTTGGATAACGCCTTACTATTTCATGGTATTGTTCATAAAGATACTTGAAGTAAAGTGTATATAAGCGAAGGTTTACTGGACAATAAATTATTGGGTACAAAGCAAAATTGGTCTTGCTGATCTTTGCACTGATTGACTTATTTTTCTTCTTTTTTGCTGTGGGTTCCAGTCCCCTGTGGAAAGGATGGCAGGGAAATGAAGCCGGGGGTCCTCCTGATGCCAGGCTCACTCCCACTGGGGATGCCCTTACACTCTGCCTACTGTCACTACCTTCAAAGATTGACTGCCCCATGTTTGCCTCTGGGTATTCAAGTCATGCTTAGGGGTCACCATGCATCGTACTCATCTGTGCTGAACCCGATTATTCGTGTCTGTCCAAGGCAGTGCCCAGATGAGACTTCCTAAAGATGGCTGGGCAACCACAGAAATTCGAATGGTTAGCCTGCCCCGCCCCCACCCCAGCTTCCCCTTCCAGTCAGCCACCTAGGACTCCTTCTGCTCTCTAGGCTTCCTCTCCTTTTATTTATGATACCTTTGGACACATTTCTTCTGCATGAGTGAATTTATTACTTCGCTTTTAAACCAATATCCACTGCTAGCTTTCAATGTAACCGGACTCAAACTACAATATTGTCCCTCACTGAATTAATGGTATGTG